GAACTATGTACTCTCCTTTGCATTTAAATGACAAGATAACTCACATCGCATTAGCACGGGCCATAAAATCCTAATTCAACACAATTGTGTATTACAAAACCTAAGCTTTGTTTCAAAATCAAAGCTGTAAATTTACAGAGACCTCACACATCTCTCTTTAGAATTTCATCAAATATTTTGCAAACAATCTCCAAACTGCCACATATCACATATACACTTAACATACTACTCCAAAAAACCAAGTTCAGGATAGAGGCGAGCTTGGAGAGGATATACTACTCCAGATAACCTGTTCCTATTACGTATCACAAGTACATGTTAATTATATCATGTATTTGTTAATTATAAATGGTTCTTGTTAAGTATCACATGTATATGTTAACTATAACAAGTACATATTAACTGTAAACTGTTCTGGTTAAGTATCACATATAACCGTTAACTATAATCTATACCTATTAAAAGTAACTTATAATTCATATATTGGACAATTTCTCATCGCGTGTTAATTAATAAGCAAACAAATACTAGAGCCAACGTGACCATATATAAAAATATTTAACAGGTATTGGATATAGTTAACATGTAAGGGATAAAGTTAACATAATTAACATGTACTGACTAAAGTTAACAGGTACGGGATATATTTAACAAATAATGACTAAAATTAATAAGTGACGAATATAGTTAACTGGAACTAATTAAAGTTAATAAATATTGGATATAATTAACAAACACTGACTAAAGGTAACACGTAGTGGATATAGTTAATAGGTTCTAGGTAAAAAGTTAACATGCAGTGGATACGTCGACCCAAAGCGTAGCAAAATGAGGTCGATTGACAGTAATATCAATTGAGTTCTACTTCAATTTTATTTCATTTGTATAGATATAAACAATTCCATGATTTTCATAATAAGATCAATCTATTTTTTAACCTTTGAATTCAACATATGCAAAGTTCTCTGGTTAAAGCAAAACAACAAACACATTGTGTGCGGTTCTAAAAGAACACGATCATAACACATATGACCCAAATTTGATATATATATATATATATATATATATATATATAGATTAATGAGTATCCTTGTCATAGGAGGGGATTTCCTCCTTGATGCTTATGTGACACAATCCCCACCATCCTTATAGGGGCTGTTTGGTTCGTTTACGTCACTTTTCATAGATGATTTTCCTTCACTTTCTTGTGTTTCCTTCACTTTCCTGAAAAATGTTTCTTGTGTTAGTTTCGCCCAAAAATATGTAGTGAAAGTACTTTACATCATTTTCTAGTGTTTGGTTCAACTTTAAAAAAGAAGAAAATATGTAGTGAAAGTACTTTACATCATTTTTTAGTGTTTGGTTCAAACTAAAAAATTAAGAAAACTTGATTGTGATCACCATGGTAAGATTACCACCAAACATAATAGTTGTGCTCAGAAAAGGCCATTATTTCATTATCTGCCTCGCCATAAAGTTTATAAAACAATGTTGGTTGCAATATATTGCCTCGCCAATATATTGTTGCTATAAACTTTGGCTGCATATCTTAAAAATAGCCCATCATCATAACACAAAATATGCATACCAACCAAAAGCCAACCAAGAGCTGAAACCAAGGCCGAGAGCAGGTTGAAACCATGTACTTAATTAAAACAAAGGCCAAGCATCAACATGAAACCAAAGGCCAAGCATAGCTGACCAACAACAAATAATAGTACCAAGAGCTGGAACCAAGGCAGAGAGTGCAATAAACCTGCACAAAATTTAAATAAGGGCCAAGCATCAACTGAATCCGAAGGCTATCATCATAGCTGACCAACAACAGGACAAGCAAGAGCTGCAAGAGGCCAACATAACCAAACCCCAAGCAACAAGCTGCTGCAACACAAGGAAAGCACAACAAAATGTCAAGAAACAAGAGCTGCAAGAGGCCAACACAACCAAACCCCAAGCAACAAGCTGCTGCAACACAAGGAAAGCACAACACAATGCCAAGAAATAAGAGCTACAAGAGGCCAACACAACCAAACCCCAAGCAACAAGCTACTGCAACACAAGGAAAGCACAACACAATGCCAAGAAACAAGAGCTGCAAGAGGCCAACACAACCAAACCCCAAGCAACAAGCTGCTGCAACCAAGGAAAGCACAACAAACTGCCAAGAAACAAGAAAAAACCAGGCTGCAACCAAGGCCAACACAACCAAATGCCAAAGACCAACCATACACCAAATCCAGGCTGCAACCAAGGAAAGACCAACCGCAGGCCAACACAAGAAAAAACCAAAGGCTGCACACAAGGAAAGCACAACACAATGCCAAGAAACAAGAGCTGCAAGAGGCCAACACAACCAAACCCCAAGCAACAAGCTGCTGCAACACAAGGAAAGCACAACACAATGCCAAGAAACAAGAGCTGCAAGAGGCCAACACAACCAAACCCCAAGCAACAAGCTGCTGCAACCAAGGAAAAGCACATATGCCTCGCCATGAAGTTTATAATAGCAATGTTGGCTGCATATACTGCCTCGCCAATTGATTACTAGTATAAACTCTAGCTGCATATCTTCAACAATGAAGCCCATCATCATAACACATAAAATGCATACCTCTTTAACTTTAATTCATCGAGGGGAAATCATTATAGAACCCCACTTGTAAACCTGTCAAACAAGTTTGCATTAGCATACCAAGTTTATAATTTTTGACAATAAAGCCACGACTGAGATGCATGAAAATGATGAAAAAACAGAAATAACCATTACGCTCATTGACCATAGTTTAATACATGAAAGTTTAATACATGTACCATAGTTGTGTTTGCAAAATGATGAGCAATCATCCAACCACATGACCAAACAAAAATAATTACGCTCATTTACATACAAAAATAATTATACTAGCATTGTTACAATTATCTAGTTTCACAAAAATATCCCAAAAGCATCGTAATCCGAGCAAAGGCCAACATTCTAATCAAGAGGTTGACTCTTCATGAACTCAGTCAACGCCTTCTTTTGCATAATAGTTGGCCTCCCCATAAACAACCTAGCTTGTGATTCATTCTCATGCAATTGTTGATAAAACTTATCAAGAATTTCTATGTCAAATTCATCATGTGCAAATATAGCTTGTGCCAACTTCTCGGTCCAATGCATACTCACCATGCGCATAGATGAGGTGAATTGTTTTACCTCATTTACTATCTCACGCATAAGCACCGTGTCCTCACTAAACCTAGGCTCCTTTCCTTTACGTTTCTTTGACCCGTTATTTTTACCTTTGTTCACACTAGAAGATGGATTGGATTTTGAGGGCATAGTTGGACCCTTCGGTGGTGGAATATCATCTTCATCTATATCAACATAGCTAGGTGTGTTCTCCTTTGGCATATTAATATCATCATCATCATCACCAATATTAAAATGTGCACTATCACCAAATTGTGACAACACATCTACCGCATAATCTCCTCTAGCAACATCGTCTCCAATAATAGTTACGAGGTCTTCATAATGTTTCATGGGCTTGTTGATGTATTCCCTAAGTTTAGAACTATTCATACTTTTATCCTGCATAGTTTAATGCATATATCAAAAACATATAGGACAACATTGAACAAAATTAGAAATATTTGTTAAGATATGAACACTAGAAAATTGTAAATACCTCTAGCCATCTATCAAAGCAAGCTTCATCCATAATCACCATCTTCTTTGCATCATCCCATCCGGCACCGCTCAAGTCACGACATTTTTGCATGTCCAAGAATCTATTACGAATAGTTCTCATACGATTTTTCACATTCTCGGAAGTGAACGTTGAACCTAATTGTTCATTTATATGAAAGGCGGCGCTAGTTTTTTTGAACCTCTTATCCGCTTTCAATCCATCCCTAGCACATTTTGCAAGGAAAGGAATTAACAAATCATCCTGTTTACTCTCCCTCAATATGTTAACTCTCCTCTTGCAAGCCTCTTTCTTCTTGGATTTATGAGCAATAGCTTTCTTTTTCCTCTTTGGATTAGGGGATGAACTTTCATCACCATCAATATCATTAGCACTCCTCTTGTTGCTTTGACATTGTTGAATAGGTGACGGAGTTTCACCCACGCTATAACTTTGACGTTGTAAACTTGGAGGAGCATTTAGCATGTTCATGAATGACATTGTAGGTTGTTGGCCAATTCCCCAAAAGTTAGCATCTTGCATTTGCAAATTATTCCAAAAATTAGGACCTTGGCCAACTTGTGAAGAGTGATAAGGCATAAAGCCCGGGTTAAACCCACAAGGGAATGATGAATTCCTTGGGGTTCGAGGCGATGAATTGGATGTCGTACTCTTGCCTTTGACCTTATCAAGTTCCTCACAATTGAAGTTGTCGGCCATACCTAGAAAATAGTTATAGAGAAATACGAAATAAATATACGTAAGTTGAGTAAATAAAGTGTGTCCTAAGAGAATTACATACAACACATAATAGTACACACGCTAACATAAAATGAACATAAAATGAAGTACATGAAATATGTCATCACACGCTAACAACACATAATGTTTTACACACGCTAACATAAAATGAAGTACATGAAAATAGAATAATTCAAAACATGAGACAACATCACTATCAAATTGCATCACATGCCTATTTCATTAGTATTCCCTCCCTTATACTTATCACAATAATCAACCCACATTTCCCAAGCTATTTAATCTCTACGATTCTTCCATACGTTTCTTGATTCTGCTTGCTCCCTTTGAGTTTGGGGTTGAGAGAAATCAACAATATTATTATCATCTTCATTAGCAACTTCACCTTCATCATCTTCGATCTCAACGGTCTCATTGAATATGTCATCATCCGGGTCAACCATTGCAATATAATTGTGAAGAACTGCACAAGCTAATACAATATCCACTTGCGCGCGAAAAGGGTAATGAGGTTTCGCGGTGAGAATTTTGAAACGATTCTTCAAGCAACCAAATGTAGATTCAATCTTAGACCTTAAAGAAGAATATGAATAATTCCCTTCTATTTTTAGGTGTTCTTCCTATTTGTTCCTTCAAATGGTAACGAACACCACGATATGGGGAGATAAAACCCGGCATGGTCGTGTATCCCGCATCACACAAGTAATACTTTCCTACAAATGCATGATGTGAAAATGTTTAGTAGAATTTTTTGTCAATTCATTGAATAAACCAATATTAATTAAAGTAATTACTTAAAATTTAAGATATGATGAAATTACCATCGTAAACTTTCAAGCCATGAGGTTGTGGCCTACACAATGCATCTTGGAGGACTCTAAAGTCATTTGCAGAACCTTCCCATCCAGCTAATACGTAAGTGAATAACTTGTTTGGAGTGCAAGCCGCTAAAACATTTTGTGTAACACCTTTTCGACCACGGAATCGTGGTTGAAGACTAGCAGGTAGCGTAGCATCAACATGTGTACCATCTATCATACCAATACAATCCTAGAGAACAAAAAACTACAATTGAATCCTTTTTTTTTAATTAAATGAACATGCTTTTAATCACAAATTAAAGAGAGAATACCTTGAAATAAGGATAGTATAGAGGGTTGCTAAGGATCTCCTGTGGAACTTCATTCCGTGCTTGTCTTAAAAAGCGTGGTCGTATGTGGCAAATAGCTTCTAACACTTTGTTGAAATACCTACTCACAGTCTCGCCAGATCTAATGAAATGTGACCTAATACTTTGATTTTTAGTTTTATGCCCCAAAATATTCAAAGTCATAGCAAGTTGCTCCTCCACTGTAACATGTCTTGAGTCTCATAATAAATCGTTGCTCCTCAATATCTCTGCAAGATTCATAAAAGCACCACTTCGCATTCTAACATAGTTGACACAACTATCACTAAATCCATTATATATACGATCCAAGTGTTGTTTTCTATTTTGATATTGAATTGTTTTCTCAACACTAGGACCTGCACGTATAGATCTACGTCTACTTTGCATTCTCCTCATGAATACCATAACCATAACCAAGACAGATAGTACAGCACCCAAACACATATTAACTACGGTTTCTTCATCGAGATCACCATCCATCTAAAATACAAACGTCATATTAAAGCAGATAGTCACAGTAAATGAAGATGGTTGTCTAATTATATTGCTAAGGTCCTACTTGCAAAATGAAAAGACAAAGCTATTAGACTTGGGTTCAAAAATATATTTGGAAACTAATGCAGACAAAATGTAGTTCAATTTGAAATATGTTATTTACAATTATAAATACATATTTTTCTCTTCCTATCCCTAGGTCAAGAAAAATGGTAACTACAATATGTGTACATATAGAGAAGAATGCCATTAATAAGTCACTCAAATGAGCTATCAGAGATTTTACACACTTAAAGCTTATAGTTTGTCATCACATTTAATGTTTGCCTTCAAATTAATCATCAATTTGTTTCTTAGTTCATATTCAGTTCATCAAAACCCAAAGCCATGCTCAAGAACAAGAAAGTCCATAACTATGTACCTATCAACTCATCAAAACCCAAAGCCATGCTCAAGAACAAGAAAGTCCATAACTATGTACCTATCAACTAATTGAATGCAGACAAGGAGTTTCTAACCATAAAAATTGATTCATTTCCCATCATTCTAAGAAATAAAATGTTTTTCGACTATACTAATTTCTTATTATGCAAACTGTGCCCACAAATCATGATAAATTTGCATGGAAAAATTTATAACGTAGTCAAACAGACCACGAAATTGCTACTAATATTCTTAAAAGTTATAACACGAGGTTGATCAAGCATGGTAATTTTTGCAAACTGTGACCTTCATTCATGATAATCGATCTTCATCAATTACTAATTTGTTTTTACGCAAAGACCAAATGAAATTGCTACTAATATTCATGTTAGCGACCAATTTTCTCAAGAACAACGATCGTCAGGCCAAATCCCCAAATCAACCGCAAGAACAAGAACAGCGATCGTCAGGCCAAATCCCCAAATCAACCGCAAATCAACCGCAAGAACAAGAACAGCGTTTAGGGTTTTTTACCTGAGTAGCGCCCAATTTTCTCAAGAATAGCGATCGTCAGGCCAAATCCCCAAATCAACCGCAAGAACAAGAACAGCGATCGTCAGGCCAAATCCCCAAATCAACCGCAAGAACAAGAACAACGATCGTCAGGCCAAATCCCCAAATCAACCACAAGATCAAGAACAACGACCTTTCAAAATGCCAAATCAACCGCAAGCTCTCAAGAACAGCGATCTCCTTTAAATCCCCAAATCCACCGTAAGATCTCAAGAACAACAAACTCAAGATCGCAAGAGATCAAAACGGAGGAAGATCGAGAGCTGAAGGAGCAAAAAGCCGTGCGAAGAGCAGGTGGCGGGAGAAGATGGAGGGAAGGAATGGCGCGGTGATCAGAAACCTAGGGTGAAAGGGGAGCGGAGGGGGGGAAACGAGATTTGATCACTTTCCACCAAAATCGGGGTTTTTGGAACGGAAAATAACTTTCAGCAAATCGCCACTTTCAGCCCCCTTTTCTTTAGCTGCTCAAAACGAACCAAACATCCGTAAATGAAGAAAACCGACAGATTTTTCGTCGTCAGTTTTCAAAATGGGCTTTTACGTCACTTTCAGCTCAAATTTGAGCGAAACAAACAGCCCCATAAAGTAGGAGAAAGAGAGTGAGTTAGTGGGGATTCGTGCCTATTTTATGCGGATGGTGGGGATTGTGACACATAGGCAACAAGGAGGGAAATCTCATCCTATGATAAGGATACCCATTAATCTCATACATATATATATATATATATATATATATTTCTAGAAGGAAAGAAGATATTATCTCATAAAGGAAGTGACCACTCATATAGTGCTATTACTTCGTAGAAAACCAGTTTTAAATTCATGGTCGGTGGAATTCAAATCTAGTTTGCTAAGATACAGTATTAAAGTAAATAACTCAACCATTTTATTATAACTTTAAAGTTATGATAAGAATTAACTGTTAAGCTTTTATATTTTAACATAACCCTTACCTAGGGTCGAGCGTCCAAATTGTCCCTTTTCACTTGTTGAAATTATTGAAGTTGCCCTCTTTAGCTCTTGTCTCCACTCACTAACTACGTGATAGCATCCTCTTAGACTCAAAAATATAATCCCAACTAGTGTTATACCCGCCCAATGCTGTGACTTTTTCTTTTAAAACTGTCAATATAGAATTTCACATAGTGCTACCAAAAAAGAATATATATATATATATATATATATAGGGAGAGGTTCAAATAAAAACCTCACTATCCTAAAAACTAAAAATCAATCCTCTCCATTGGATCTAGATTCATCCAATGGCTGAGATTAAAGCTGCATAAGGATAATCATGTAAAATTAACAACCACCAAAGAGAGGTAATGAATGCATGTCTGTTGAGTTCTCCAAAAGCCACAACATATCTCTCTCTCTCTCTCTCTCTCGAAAATCACAGCAACTCTCTCTCTCTCTCTCTCTCTCTCTCTCTCTTCAACAGCTCCCTATCCAAAAAGTCAAGATAGCTCTCTCTCTCTAAAACTCGTGCCAACTTATCTAATGCTACGTTTGCCTTCAACTGCATCTCTATCAACGGTCTTCTTCAACCTTCGTCTTCAACCTTCATCTTCAACCACCGTCTTCAACCTTTGTCATCGTTAAATTATTTTGACGTTTTAATGGTAAGTTTATGAAATTTGTTTGATTTTTCGTCTAAATGTTTTAGTTTTAACCTTAAAGATCGTAGCTTTTTGTTGTAAAAGGTAAAAAATTTCACATTTTAGTCTGAAAAGTTTCCTGTTTATTGAAGAAACCAGTTGAAAAACGAAGACACGCATGTGTTAATCTAGATTCACTGCAGTGAATCTAGATTCACTACAGTGAATCTCGATTCACACATGCGTGTCTTCGTTTTTCAACTGGCTTAAAGATCGTAGCTTTTTGTTGTAAAAGGTGAAAAATTTCACCTTTTAGTCTGAAAAGTTTACTGTTTTTTGAAGAAACAAGTTGAAAAACGAAGACACGCATGTGTGAATCTAGATTCACTGCAGTGAATCTCGATTCACTACAGTGAATACAGATTCAGTTATGTAAGGTGTTTATTTTTTACCATAAAAATCGTAACTTTTTGCTATAAAATATGAAATCTTTTCATGGTTTAAAATTTTATAGCTTGATGATAGGAAGTTTGTTGAATCAAAAACTTTTGCTGTAAAGGGCATCCAATTTAAAATTTTGTTGTAAAGGGTAAAATTTAAGTGAAGTGAATCGATGTTCACTGAACTAAATACTCTTGAACTAAATAGCTTCAATATAAGTTATAGATGTTTACTGAACTAAATACAAACTTATATTTTAGCTTCAATATAAGTTATCGATGTTCACTGAACTAAATACAAACTTATATTTTAGCTTCAATATAAGTTATCGATGTTCACTGAACTAAATACAAACTTATATTTTAGCTTCAATATAAGTTATCGATGTTCACTGAACTAAATACAAACTTATATTTTAGCTTCAATATAAGTTATCGATGTTCACTGAACTAAATACAAATTTAGTTTAAGTAAAAGTCATGTTTTACGTACTCTTGAATTAAATTGGAAATCACAAATTTAGTTGTTTTTTGCAGGGAGTTGATAAACCTATGTGACTAGACACTGGAACAATGAATACGACGGGATGAATCTGATTTCACTTCAGTGAATCTCGATTCACTGAAATGAATCTACTTCAGTGAATCTCGATTCACATCATTGAATCAAGATTCACTGTAGTAAATCTCCGTTTATCCATGCCATCCACGTGCAAACGCAAGTCTTCTGAAGTCTATGAAGAGAACCTATCCCATTAGATCCATTGTTTCACTTAAGATTCATTGTACATTAATTTTATTGAATATCAATTTATATTGTTTATCTGTAACTCTAAAATAGTTGATTTATGTTTGCCCACTATCTGAATTTACCTGTACAGATGTAACATTATAATATTCAATCTAGATTAAATCTCAATTCAGTTTTTGATTCATCAATGGTGATTCTATGTTCATTGATATAATGATTCTTGTTTATTTTTAGATTTAGGCAGCTAAGATGTAAACTCAAGTCATTTCAGTATCGGATTTGGTAAAAATTTTAAAAATTGTATTGGATAGTTGTGAAACCTTGAAAGGCTATAACTTTGTGTATCAGCGTCGTATTGAGACGATAATTCAAAAAATACCTCTATCATGCAAAATGGAGGATAATTTGGTTTATTTGGTTTTAGTCAAACCGAATCACAAATTTGACTTCACCGTAAAGATACAAACGAGATAGCGTCATGTTGAGGTTACAGTTATTCAAAATAACTCATAAATTGTCGACAGAATCGAGATCCATCGTTATGAATTTAGATTCAACTAGTTATATTAGAATAAGAGTTGAACATGATAATCCATAAATATACAAACTAAAATAACTTTTGTATTAATCAACAGTTAACGACAAACTTAGATTTGGTAACACTGTTTAAAGATATAGTAACTAATCATCAATTTTTTCTCAGTTTTGAACCCTTTCTTGATCCTTGTTTGACACTAACAAATTCATTGAATCTCGATTCATTGAAGTAGTGAATCGAGATTCACCTCAGTGAATCAAGATTCACTGAAGATTCACTGAAGTGAATCTCGATTCACTTCACTTCAAATAGTCACTGATGCGAAAGAAACTTCATCCTTTCGTATTCATTGTTTCACAGGCATGTCTCTTCATAAAATAAGAGCAACAAACAACCAATGAATCCAGATTCACTGGAGTGAATCCAGGTTCACTGGAGCGAATCCAGGTTCACTCCAGCGAATCCAGGTTTACTCCAGCGAATCCAGGTTCACTCCAGCGAATCCAGTTTCACTTCAGTAGCAGCACAACAGCACAGCAGCAGCAACACAACACAACAAGACCACCAACTTGTGAACAACAATTAAATAAATATTAACTCTAACTTGTGAACAATAATTAAATAAATATTAACTATATATGGCTCTCGATTCACTCCAATGAATCCAGATTCACTAGAGTGAATCAAGATTCACTGTAGTGAATCAAGATTCACTGAATTAAATCTAGATTCACTGGATCGAAACTCGTTATCAAACAATAGCAAATCTGCAAAAATAAAAAACAAAAAGAATAAGAATCGTCGTGAACAAAAATAAACAAACAAGACAGGAATTTTTCTTTTTTTTAAGAGAAGATTTTGGCGGTCGAGGGGCTTCGTCGACGGCGTCGAGGGGCTTCGACCAACTCGAAGCTGGTCGAGAACGACGTCGAGGGGCTTCGGTGTCGGCGTGGGCTCGTCGATGGTCTTCGACGGCGAGCTCGTCGAGGGTCGTCGGGGCGTCTGCGTGAGCTGGAGCGTCGACGTGAGCATGAGCGTAGGGGAAGAGAGAGAAATGGGGAAGTGAAAGGACGCTTTAGAGAAATGTGTTCTTCATCATCTCCGGTTTCCAATGTTGCCAGCAACCATTGTAGTGAATCATTCCCATTTTACCCTTTTCACAATAAATTTTACAGCTGATGTGTATTAGATTTGTGTATATTTTCAATTTTGCCATCGAAATATAGACCATTGGATTAGATAGATTGGATGGTTAGGATAGGTTTTTAGTTTTTAAGGTTTTCATTAGAACCTCTCCCTATATATATATATATATATAGAGAGAAGTTTTCCCCACGTATAGATCCTGCCCTTTACCCAACACAATCATAGAGCAAGGACCTGTTTTATTTGTAAAGACACAAGGATGGAGACGCTCCAATGCTCCGTGTCCCAAGAATGGGGGGCCTTTCGGTGAGCCAGTACGTGAGACTCCGAACGATAATTTGCTAACCCAATCATGTTTTTATCCCTGATACACCGTCCAATGAGAAGGAAGGCCACAACAGCGGTCATACAACATCTATATCTATGCTGCCATATAATGGAAGTGGTAGGGTAGGCCAGAAATGGATGAGACATTTCCCCCATTCCAATTGTTAAAGCTCATTAATAGCGTACCCGTTCTATTAATTGCATATAAATAAAAGGAAAAAAAATATGAAATGATAAAGTTCTTTTAAAAAATTGCGCACAAATAAATACAATAAAAATAACAATTAGAATTTCAATATGTCCTAATATAAAACGAAAGTGTATATCTAGAAACTTGGGCTAAAAATAATTAAAATAATAACTTGAATGGAATATAATAAATAGACTCTTCTAAAGAACACACCCAAACAAATTATGTTATTGCTCAAATTGAACTATTTATCACCGCCAATTTGGAATAAGATAAATGAAATTAAGAACAGACAACATAAAAAGCTCTTGGAGAAATTGATGATCCCATACAGAAGTGACCTATTTTATATAAAAATTAGAAATTTAAAGTTTTAATTTCTGTTATACGATGCAGGGCCGGCCCCGAGGTTTGGGTTGCCCTAGCCCATTTCAATTTTGGTTGCCCCTTATATTAAAATTTTGGTACGAACAACAACGATAAAAAAATCTGATGAACACACGATATTAATCAACATGAATCTATTATCTAAACTGGTTCAACTTCTTGATTGAACTAGTTCTAAGCATGCAGTCATTAATTAATGTTTATAAATAAAATAACAGATATTTTTTTAATAAAATAGATTACTGAAAGAAGATCGAGAAACAAGAACACCAATCAATTGCACGCAAGTGCTTTTCAAAATTTAAGACCGGATTTGTTGGGTCAGAACATATTATGAGCATCTGGTTCACCACACATTTGTGTATTTCAAATACCCAAAGGGAGCAATCAGTGGAAGTCAAGGTATCAACTGGTATAGTGATAGGTATTGAATACTATTTGCTACTTGCATGACGATGAAAGGTTTACTACTTGCAAAACTATCCGCTGATAATGAAGTCAACGCTGTATGATTAGCCAAATGAAAGGTAAATATTATGCTATGGGCAACAAGAAACCCACACAAAGATGACAATGCAAATAAAGATGCAACAAAACAAAACTAACTCCTACAATGAAGGTCAGTAGATGTGAGTCAAGTAGATCAATATCGACGTTGCAACCAAGATAACTGCATCAAAGAAACTGAAGTTGACTCAGTCATAAAAACTAGATGTGATGTCCAAAAGGTTCTAGGTTCAAATCGAATAAGAAGCTAACTTCATCATTAGCTCGCATATTGCAACAAAATAGGTATTAATGGATCTAAGTTCAATTAGCCACAGTGGAAGCAGGACTTCTGCTTAGAAATTCCGACTTAAGGAAATCAAGCAACGAGAAGATATAACAAATGCAATCAGAACTCAGAACCCTTAGTTTCCCTTAGTTCATCCCCTAATAGCATAATATTTGTTATCCCAATTTAGGGGTGTAAAGGGAAGGGAATCCCTTCCCTTCTTTTCTCTCTCACCTATTTTCCCTTAATAACTTTCCTTACCCCGTTGAAATCCAAACACAGCATTAAAATAAGGGAAAAGATGAGATCTTGATCGAATCCGTACCGTCTTCGAGAGGGACGAGACACTCGTAGGAGATCTCGAACTGGAACCGATTGAGAAACGCCGCAAGGTTGTCGAGTACTGTCACGTTCGTGATGTTGACCGTGCTCATCTCGAAAACCCTAGGCCCCCAAAACCCTCATCAACGCCCCCACCAAAACCCTAGCCGCCAAAATCGTCAGAGATAGAAGAAGAAAGCGATAGGAGGCGAGATGATGGAGATTACAGCTGTTGATTTTAGCAGCTATTGGTGAGGGAAATATGTAGATGCGGTCAGAAGAAAGCGATGGGTTGCCCCCCGGCCCTGGGTTGCCCCAGCCCCGGGGCTTGGTGGGCTTACCCCAGGGCTGGCTAATACGTACAATAGTGTTAGTAACTGGCGCTGTCCAAAAGCCCGCCGGGCCCGGGGTGGCCCGGAAACTCCGGGCTAGACCCGGGATCAGGGGCCCGAGCTCGGTCCGCCGTCGACGGCCAAGACTCGGAAGCGCACGCCCCGGGTGCCCAGGCCTGGCCGCGGTACTATGGTGGCCGGTCGGCATAGAAACAAAAAACGGACCGGAGCTGCCCGGTCGGGCCCCAAATGGTGCACCTTGCTGACGCGCGTTGGGGGCGGCAAAAATCTGGGTCGGCCAAACGAAAAAAACGGTCACCAAATGACGATTGGGTCGTGTGGGACAGCCCAGCCATAACGGTCATATTGGCCGTTTGATCGTTTTGCCCCTAAAAACGGTCAAAAAACGACTATTTTGTGAGGGTTTTTTGGTCACTTGCCTAGGAGGCTGCCTCTATAAATAGAGGGGGGTATTTACTTCTTCTCCTCACACCAAAACTCATCTACTTCTCTCTACTACTCTCTTATATAATCTTATACCCTCTTATACTATCTAATAATCTCTTATACTTTCTAATCCTTCTAGCAAATGGCTTCCGAATCTGATTATGAAGAGCAAAACCTATCTCCTACCGATCTTGACATGAGTCCTCCTACAATAGCTACTCCTACCGATCCTACCTGTGTTAATCCCGAATCCGATGGCGACGAATCTGCACCAAGAGCTCCTAAAAGGCCGAGATCCGATGTGTGGAATTTTTTTGAGAAGATAGACGTCACCAAGGATGAACACGGTAGGATCCTCACCTAGAAGGCTAAATGTGCGTTGTGCGGCCAGACTTTCTAAGCTCATCAAAAGAGCAGCACCAACCATCTCAAACGCCATATAGAAAAACACAACAAAGGTCAGAATCCTCAAGGTGATATACGACAATCTATGATTTTCCAATCCTCCTCTTCTGGTAGTCTCGGTAGTTGGAATTATGACGTTGCCCGAGCTAGGAAACGCGTAATCAGGTTTATCATTCTTAAAAACATTCCTTTTAAATTAGTAAAAGATGATGAATTTGAAGATATGTTTAGAGATGATTTTTATCCCGTATTTCTAAATTTTCTCGTCAAACCTGTCAACGTGATATTTTAAAACATTATCAGGAGGAACAAGGAAAAATAATTTCTTATTTTAAAAATTTAAACTGTAATTTTTTTTAACTTATGATATTTGGACATTTAGAGCACAAACTGGTTATTTATGTATCACAGCACACTGGATTGATAAAAAATGACAAATGTTTAAAAGAGTTGTTTCCTTTATTATAATTGAAGAGTCACATACTGGTATTAATATTATAAATTAATAATTGAAGAACTTATGAAACTAGAAATTGATCAAAGAATATTTTTTTTCTTTCACTAGATAACGCAAGTAATAACAATGTAGCTGTTGATTTTATCAAAACAACTATGTCATTACCATGTCATGGTGATCTTTTTCATATTAGATGTATCTGTCATATTTTAAATTTAATTATTCAAAGTGTATTTACTGAAATTAAACCTATGATAAAAAAAAGTTAGAACAGTTGCTAATATGCATAATGCTTCTGTATAAAGAATTAAAAGATGGAAGTAATTTTGCAAAAGAAAAAATTATAAGTCCAGACTAATTCCAAAAGATGTTGACCATAGGTGGAATTCCACCTATGCAATATTTAGCGTGATAATAGAATATAAAGAAATTATAAATAATTTTATAAATTATTATGCTTTTAGTTCTAGCTCTGGTAGCACTTATGGAACAACTGAAAATGAATGGATAATTATATATAATTTAAATAAGATGTTACAAGTTTTTTATGATGCTACAATGTTATTATCTGGCTGTTATTATCTAACTATTACTTTAGCTGTTTTACAAATTTTAAATATTCAAAAAAAATTAGAATGATACTTTTGGAGCTATAGTTTTTCAAATGGAGAGCAAATTTAATAAGTATTTTAGGTCTATTCCTCATATTTTTGGTTTTAGGGTTATTATTGATCCATGATTGAAGGATATTGACCTTCGAAGTTTGTTACAATCATTGCATGGTGGACAGATTATAGACTTAGATGATGGATCCACCATTACTGCTATTTCTTATCATTTAGCTATTAGAAATTATTTTCAAACTTATATGATGAGTATGCAGCTAGACATGGTATAACTGCACAACAGTCTACAGCTTCGGTGCCTTCGAGCTCAGGCCGAGGTAAAAGTGTAAGTTTTGATAGATATGCAATGGTAGCTGAGCTAATTGATGGATGTTGACTTGGATCATCATTAGAGGTTTCTGAAATAGATGAATATTTATCTGTGTTTTTAGTTAAATGTCAAGGAAATGTTTTAGATATTTTACAATGGTTGAGAGTATATGGATCAGTTTCATATCCTATACTTTCACCATGGTTCGTGACTTACTAACAGTACAGGTTTCGATGGTAGCTTCGGAATCCGTCTTCAGCACAGCAGGACGTTTGATCGACGACCACAAGACATACTTAGATCAGTATACTGTACAAGCAGTGATGTGCTTACAAGATTGGTGAAGGTACGAGAAGCGAACGCAAGATATCGATCGGATGACTGGAATTGAAGATAAATTTAAAGAGTTAGGATTAACAGATAGATATAAAGATTAAACAATATTCATCAAATTGTAATTTTTATTTCTTAGCTTTAAATTTATAATGAATTATTTTAAAAATAGTTACAAATGATAGTGATATAGGTGAGTAGGTACCAACCTAGTTGAGATGTACTCATCTATTATGATGCGACGAATTCGAAATAAATTTATACTCGTAAAGGATTTACTGACTATTAATAAAGAAGTTATTTTTATCATCTTTTATTTTTATAATTTTTTTATTTGTAATTTATGTCATTTCAAGTTATTAATACTATTGTTATTTTTTATTAGCATTTTCTGTAATTTCTTATGTATATTTTAATTTTAAAATTTAAAGAGATTTAAAAAAATAAAAAATAAAAATAAAATTTAAAAAATCCGTACCGGCCCGGAGCCTGGCCCGCTCAGGCCCGGGCCCAAATGGACAGGCCTATTAGTAACGTATACAGGTTT